GTTAGGGTGGATTGGCCATGTTAAATTGTCCCATAGTGTCCCAGGGATGTGCAGGTTAGGGTGGATTAGGCATGCATAGGAAATGCAGGTTAGGGGAATGGGTCTAGGTGGGATGCCCTTCAGAGGGGCAGTGTGGACTAGTTGGGCCAAATGGCTTGGATCCACACTGTAGATACTCTCTATGACATCTCTACATAATGGCCATTAACTTTTCATCCCATTGGTAATCAAGAATCTATCTGCCTCTGACTTCAAAATATTCTACATCAACTGACTTTTGAGAGAAAAATAAAGTTTCCTCACCTCTGTTTTGAAATGTACACCCTTGTTATTTTTAAACTTTGATCCCCTAACTCTGGATTCTACAACTAGAGGAAACATCCTTTCCTCAGCCGGAGCAGAAGAAAGCTAAACCTCAAGATAATCTATTAAAGGTCTATGACTTCCACCCAATCTGCTATTACTCATGTATAAAGACAGACAGACAGACACAGCTGAAGGATAAATTGAAACAAAAACTGAAAGCGTTGTAATTTGCCAATTTAATGAACATTTCAACCATGACAATCAAGGCTTCATAGGATCCTTGAACAGTGCATTGTGTTACGGATACATAGGAACAGATCTTGCATGATTTCTGAAGTCACTGAAAATGGCTTTCAGCAGGGTCAGAGAAATATTCACTTACTTTTAACAAACAGTGACTTCTTTTTTGTTTCTCAGAACAGTCAACAATTCTTTAATGGATACCAAACTAGACAGATGAAAATTCAAACAGTCCAGCAGTTTTCCAACCTTCTGTCCCAAAACTCAGTCAAAAACCTGTTCAATCTCTCATTTCTCTTCGTTGTTCTAAGAATCCTTCGTGGGTTTCTGGCCATCCTGCTGTGATTGTGTGGTTGAACAACTGACTAGCTTTCAGTCCTTGAGCATAGCAGTGCTGAAATGTCTGCGAAACAAGAGTGAACAATGACGAGTCTTGCAGTTATCTCTCCAGGCCAGTTCCCACATGCAACATGTATATGTTTGTTCTCTTTTGTTTTTAAAGCTCAACTTTGGGATTCAAAAGTTCGATTCTCGACCTTCCGGTCACAGTTCCAAAGCGAAAGTGCGAAAAACAACAGGAAGAAACACGGATGGCCATCCTGAATTTTCTTTCCAAAAATATACTTTATTCATAAATAAAACTCTTATATGGTCACTGGCGCAGTTTTGTCCTGTACAGTTTCTGCACATGGAGAATAAGCAAATGTTAGGGTTTCAGTTCGCGAATTACTTATGTAAGAGACTATTTACATATATTTGAGGGACCAGGAGCGTCCAATAACTGAACGGACCCCCATTTACATTGGGCAGAGGGTGATCATTTCCCCACTGTGCCTTTGAGGTAGCTGACCCAAGATTTAGTGTGTCCCTCAGCATGTCGTTCTGGACTTTGGAATGTGCCACTCTGTTAGACTCGATCAGGGTCAACTCATTGCTCTGGAAGACCAAGACGTTTCGGGGCACACCAATCCTGCATATACCCCCTTTGTCCCTGCTCTCTGCCTTCAATGACTTAGCGAAACCTCTGTCCATTCTGATTTACTCCTCTTGACGCTTATCAAATTAGGCTGACGGTGAGGATGGGGATTCCCGAAAGTAACCAGGAAACAGCCTTTGAGTCATTTGGGAATGAAATCCTTGAAATAAACCATCCACTTACTGTGACGGCTTGAGAAACCACAAATGCCTCAAAACTGGTGACACAGAAGAGAAAATAATTTGGCAATTTCAAGGATCGTTGCAAAACCGACTTAGAATTTGTGGGGGCACACGCTGATGATGAACAGAAGATTGCTGCAAATTTCTAAACAGACTCGCAACGCCAAAGCAATGGCCTAAGAACAACAGGAAAAAGGGCTTAACAAAATTTTCAACACAGACTGAGGTTTCGACACACTCTGTCTGGTTGTATTCATTTCAGATACCCTGAGGTCAGTGAAATCTGACTCATTAAAAGTACTTAACAGCGAATGTTCAGTTGTACCATTTCCAGGCGCATGACGTTGTTCATCTTTGCAGTGATGTGGGGGCGCTGGGGTTGGATCAGAAATCACACGACACCAAGTTAGAGTCCAACAGGTTTATTTGAAATCACAAGCTTTCGGAGCCTGAGTACTTCACGTGAAGAAGCAGCGGGTCTCCATAAGCTTGTGTTTTCAAATCAACCTGTGAGACTATACCCTGGTGTCGTGTGTCTTCTGACCTTTCGAGTGATTTAACATTCTCTGGCGGGAAGCCATCAATCTGTGCAGGCCATAGGGAGCGATCACAGCCACAATGTGGCTAAGGATTAGGATACAGCGACGCGGGGAGAAAGGCAATATCTTTCCAAGGCAGGTTTAGGGATGGTTCACATGGGAAATTGTAGGGGGTGGTGTTCCCATTTATCTGTTAATCATCAGACTGTGTGGTACTATCTCAGCACTGACCCTCCCACAGTGCGGCGCTCCCTCAGTACTGACCCTCCGACAGTGCGGCGCTCCCTCAGCACTGACCCTCCGACAGTGCGGTGCTCCCTCAGTACTGACCCTCCCACAGTGCGGTGCTCCCTCAGCACTGACCCTCCAACAGCGCGGCGCTCCCTCAG